TGACTTTGAGTTGATGCCCACACAATACTGCTGAATTAATAAATAAATTACTCTTCAAATCCTATGATTTGACTTCAGAAAGGAATTATTTTCTCTGATGCTCTCTGAATAGCAAAACTTTAGGCATATGAAGATTACTTCAGCTGAGAGGAGAGCCTATGGTCCTGACGACCTTTAGAAGTTCTACTTTGCCGTTTTGTCTCAGGAAATTTTAAAGTCTGCTTTCTTGATAGCCATTCATGATTTTGCATTCCCTGTGACTCTCTTTGTTGCCTTGGCTATCTCTGTCGACTTCAGGTTGCCACATACAACAGCAATTACTTGGCTCAAATGTCTTTGGGTTTTAACTGATCTGGTGAACTTGGTCTGGGCTGGGACTGTCACAACTGTGTCTGTATTGGAGAGTTAGCTGCTTGTCATTTGATCTCTGACTGCCTTGGTGAGAACAACTGAAAGGAAAGAGCACTGTTCTGTGTGTCTTTTAGGCCAGCCTGTCAGCTTGGCCATGTCCCCATGGCATGCTGCTGTTGTAACAGTGATGACTGTATAAAGTACATTGTTGTATCCAGGCCCCTTTGCCCATTTATTTTCATGACTTTCTACAACAATCCTGTAAGCCACCTACACGGCACTTTGATTAGTCCCATGATGGAGGCTACAAGAGGTAAGAAAAGTCAGTCAAAGTCATACAACATGGAAGTGTCACATCTGAGATTTGATGTCAGTGCTAGCACCTCTCCTGGGCATCGTCCTAGACTTCAGACATTTCTTTTGCTAGGTCTAATTTTTGCTCTGCTGTGAAGATCATCCTTCTCGGGATCCATTCACTTCACAGAAATAACTCTGTATCAGCCCACCCTAGAACAGGATGGATACAAATGTATGAAGAATAGAGCTCTCATTCAAGAAAAGAAGCCAGATACACAAGCAAAAGCCATGCTTCTTACCCCAGGCTTCACACAATCAGTGCCTACGTGCAGACTCCCACTCTGAGGACTCTGAATGTCCCATGGAAGAAAAACCCTGGGGTAATAATACTTGAACTAAAGCTTCAAAGACCACCCCCTACTTTTGTGGATACCCCCTCACCATGTCCACTACAAGTGTCACATTGACTTGTTCAGATTTCAACTCTGTCTAGTATTTTGCAGCATGCCTTGTAAAAGAAATATTAGCAAAGAATATCAGTGACTTCTGATAGGCAGCCCCAATGTAAACAGCTGGGATTCTTAAAAATGTCTCTCCTTTTGTGGAGTTGAGAAGACAGAAAACCAGAAGGTAAGCTGGAAATTGTAAAAAGTGTCAAAGTTATCACAAATGAGATACGACTAGTGTAAAGAGAGCTAAGCTCCATGAAGGGTGGACAGAGTCCTATGGTTCAACCTGAGCTCTGCTGTTCTCTTGCCTTGTGTCCCTGAGTTGCTACAGAGATGAACCTAGGAACTGCCTGCTTCTCACAAGTACTGGAAGAACTAAACGAGATAGTTCATGCATAGGAACGTGAATGTGCCTGGTATTTCTGGCTCAGCAAACAGTGGCAAATATTATTATTCTTCCCTTCAATGATATCTTATATCCTTTAGAGATATAGGATTGGGCAAATGAATCTGAAACTGCATTAGTCTTCTGCAAATATTTATGCCAGTTGTGTGGACAGTCCCATAGATGCCATGCTTCCCGTGGAAGAGCTACAGCTTACATTTGGACTTTGAGCCTTTGTTTGGTTCTTTTATTTTTTAGTTTGGACATTTTTTTTAATGAAAACCTGTTCTGCAGTGAGTTTCATGGAAGAGAGCTACAGGAAAGGGAATTGTGATTATAGAATCAGCCCCGCGCCCCCCAGATGCCAGAAGGTGCCCTACAGCAGACGAGGTGCTTCCAGTTACTTTTCAGGCTTCATAGAGTCCCCTAATGTGCTTTATTGTAAGGTGTCTGATTGACAGTAGGTATCCCCAACCCACCTCATCCTGCTTTGTCCACAGAAATCAATATGGCTTTCCGTAGTCATCAACCCTCGAAAGCATGGAGAGCTTAACAGATCTGTTCATTTCTCATCCAAGCCCAAGCACTGGTGTTACAGTATTGGATGGGGCTTCATGTCTTGAAACAAGATCAATACTTAATATGGGAACATGCTCTTGCTGAGAGGGTGTGTGGACTTCTAAGCAGCACCAGCTGCTCCAGTAAGTTGACTGTGACAGTGATAGACAGTTTATTTAGATCTTGGTTAATCCACAGATGTGTTGCTCTATATTTCAATTACTTAATTTGGATGTCCTTTCAAGGATAATGTTAAAACCTGCACATTATTGGATCAGCCAAGTCATATAGCTAAAGAGAGTTTGAGTTGATTACAATTTGGGAATGTATTTTCTGGCTTATCCACAGAGCTGTATGATACAGCATTAATTATTTTTAATTGATAGCCTCAAAAACAACATGAGCAGAATATTTTGCACAGATTATGAATATATCAATCTATAAAATGTTATTTTTTAAAACTTTTTGATTCCCAGCACCCACATGGCAGCTACGAACCATCTTTAACTCCAGTTCCAGGGGAATCCGAAGCCCTCTTCTGACCCCCGAGCATTGCACGACACGGATGCACTCATACACATACAGGCAATACACGCATACACATAAAATAAAAATAATAAATAAAATATTTATTTAAAAAATCTTCTCTCTGAGCCTTGCTTCCTGGCTCCTGAGAGGTTAGCACAGAATAAAACGTTTACCTCTAAATTTCCTGCCATCTACAAAAATCACACAAGAAATGAAAATATAGGCTGGAAATTAGAAAATATGGGTAATAATTATAAAACACAGATATATTTATTCTAAGAAAAAACATGATTATTATTTTGATTGATGATATGACCAACTTATATGCTAATTGTTTGAGACTATGTACTCATATAACTAGACCATTTAATAAAAGAAGTTGTGTGTAGTTTTGAACATTTTCATGTAACAGTACTGTATATGCATTTTCTCCTCACTGAATGTATACTTACATAATCTACTTTGACAGTATATCACTGAGTGATGAATCATAGTTGATATAATCTATCCCCTGTGGTGTATTTTGGTAGGTTTTGATAATTTAGAATAGTCTGCTGTTTTGAAACAACTTTGTGCATTTGTGTAATATTTCTACAGAATGGAGTGTTACATTATACTTCACAATCTTACTATCTTCTCAAAGAGACCAAACACATGAAAAGGAATCAAACGCTTACAAAGGGAGGCAGGGAACAAAATGTGCACTGGCCAAGAGTCAAAAGCTTGAGATCATTTCTTGCTGGGTTTGCTGCAGAGGGCCTTATGAAAGGCAGTTGTATGCAACAGGCTAAGTGCAAAAGGCATACAATTGGCTCATGGAATTGTAAAATCCACTTCGTTTCAGTCTCAGCCAAGTCCAGAGTTCACATGGTATTGGGCTCTCTCTCTCTCTCTCTCTCTCTCTCTCTCTCTCTCTCTCTCTCTCTCTCTGACATCTCTTGGTTCAGCTTCTTACAGTGTGCACATCATTAAGCAAGCTCTCTCTATATGACCACTACCCCCAGTAGCTGCAGCTCAAGGGGTATTTATGCTCTCTATCAATCTCTACTTGGCCTCTTAAACAGAACTTCTACCCACCTGTCACTGTGTAACAAAGAATGAGATGTTCTGGTGGCTGGCCTGAGTCTTGTGCTTGTGCCCTATGATGAGGAGCAGGGGGGGTGTATGACTGGGGGCCCATGCTGTGGAGTAGTTATCAATAGGAAAATATGCTGGGAATCCAGTTATGCATCCACTAGTGAAAATGCTGGTAAATACTCTGGGCTACAAGTAACAGGGAAACTCCAAATGAAACTGGACCCAACAGAACTAGTGGTATGTTATGAATTCTAAAAGTTCTAATGCCATATGATCAGTGACATATGAGGTCATTAAGGACTCTGCTGCTTTCCAACTGAAGGTCTTCATTCCAAGTCTATCTTTCAGTCAATGTAGCTGCTGATGGCAATTAAAATCCCAAGCTTCCTGTCCACAGCTACCAATAGAGATGGAGAAATAGCTTTCTTTGGCAAAGTTCATAATTACTGATATCTGATTGAGTCAATCTAAGTCATATGTCCACCTTTGAACCAGTAGCTATTACTACTAGGAATACTATACACTAGTTGGCCAATTACTAATTATTCCTGAAGAAAGGTGGGACACCTTCCACCTGGGGCACTGTGACTATTTGAAGGCACTAGGGTCCCCTTAAGAAGTAAGGGATGAATGTTGGGGGTCAACAACACTGAAATCCAAATAAGTTATCATTCCTTAGAGAGGACACACTGAATAAAGTAAAAAAGACAACTGACTTGAAGGAGAAATTCTAGATAATGCTGTGTTGACAGCTGACCAAAATGTGGAAGCAACTTTGCACAGGCTATCCTGCAGGGACTGAGCAGGGAGCACATTCACTTGGACATGGCCATCTACTTACACTTTCATGCCAGCCATGGACTGATTCTGATAATGCAACAGTAATTATAAAATATAGTTCATATCCTCATGAACTTCTGGTGCTAGAGACTGGCAACAGACTAATAGATTTAACTTGTAATTTACACATACACAAAAAGGCGAGAAAAGTGAGTAGAGAGGAAAGTGTGGGTGAGGAGTTAGGTTGACATTTGAAAAGCATGATGGAGGGAGCCAATGGGATATCCGAGGGCAAGAGTGCTCTGGGCAGAAGGAACAGCAAATGCAGGTCCCTGAAGGTGGTGTCCGTGGTCTGCTTGGGGAATGAGAAGGTAGGCAAGAGGCGAGTGGTAGGCAGTGAGGCCAGAGAGGAAGCTAGGGCCAGGTCACAGAAGGCTTGGCGTTGTAATGATCCTGTCCTTACACTGAGTCAGAAGTTTAATTCATGAGAACAGAGGACATAATTGAAGCAGAAACTGAGACACCTGCTCCCCTTGGCTTGGTCTGACTCTAACTCTTTCTCTCCTCTCTTCCAGGCCATGTACATGTTCTATGCCCTGGCCATTGTGTGTGATGACTTCTTCGTTCCATCCTTGGAAAAGATCTGTGAGGTATGTAGAGCACATTCTCTGTGCCAGAGAGAGAGACCTGGGGTGGGGCACTGGAGTAGTCTAGCCTCTTTAGATGCAAGGACCTTCTTGAGAAAGAAGGGTGTAAGTACAAAACCTCATTCAGTCTGCATAACATTTCATACCCCAGTAGATGGGAGACTTTAATCCATACCACCAGCCTTTCCCCACTACCGTAGGCCATAACCCCTGAGTGTCCGTGGGGGCTGCTTCTAGGATGCCCTGGGGGACCATAATCCGTGGGTTCTCAAGCTTGTAAAATGTATGTGATATGCTACAGTGTTCGCAAACAACCCATGCAGATACTCTTGTGTACTTTAAGTTACCACCATGACCTAAGGCCTGTGTAGATAGCTGTTGTACTGTGTGTTTAGGGAGTCATGGCAAGACAGAAAGCTGCATGGTCCATGCAGAAGCAAATTTTTTTTCAGACACTTTCGGTCTCCCATCATTTGAATCTGCGGTCGAAACCCTCAGGTATGGAGGGCCAGCTCTGCTTTGCTTTTCTTCCCCAGTTTCCTTTTGCCTTTTTTCTTTTTTAAAAAAAAAAATTTATTTACTAATTTTATTTTATGTGTATGAATGTATTGCCTGCATGTATGCAAGTATACTTGTGTCATGTAATGCCCACCGAGGTCAGAAGAGAGTGTTGGATCCCATGGAACTGGAGTTATGAACGGTTGGTGGCCATCGTGTGGGTGCTGGGAACCGAACTCAGGTCTTCTACAAGAGCAGCCAATACCTTTAACTCCTGAGCCATCTCTTCAGCCCCATATTTCCCTCTTTTTCAATGCTGCTGTTTCTTACTCCCTATCACTTCTCCTATCTTTCCTTCCTCCATTTCCACCCTCCTTTGATCTTTGGGGTCCTCCCAGGGTAAGAACCCCACCACCACTACTTGCCTCCTTTATACTTTCCTTTCTATTTATTACACAAATGCATGGGTCGAGGTGCTACAGGCCCTGGGGTGAAAGACCTGAACAGAGAGATCGGGAAAGAGTATTACATATCATCACAGTGAATGCCAGGCAGAACAGCAAGTTCAAAAGTTACTCAAGGGCTGGCAAGATGGTTGCCAAGCCTGATGACTTGAGTTCTGTCCTCGGGTCCCACATGGTGGCAGGAAAGAACTGATTCCAGCAAGTTGTTCTCTGATCTCCACATGTGCAACATGCCATGTGCACCCATACATGCACATACATGTCTATGCACACACATGCACACAATGTAATGTTATTTAAAGTGTTCAGCTATTCACCCTATCTCTAAAGCTTTCACTCTTGACACTTTCATCTCTGCTCTGAAATTTATCTCTTTATCTGCAGGCTTTGCTTTTCATATATTTAGTCACTATTTTTAATCATAATCCAAGTTTTAAAATTTTGTTTATTTTTATTTCATGTCAATGAGTGTGTTGCCTACCTGTACATAAGTGTACCCATGCATACAATGCCTGCAGAGGGCAGAGAAGGGCATTGGATCCCCTGGAACTGAAGTTATAGATGGTTGTTAACCACCATAAGGGTGCTGGGAACTGAATCTGAGTTGTCTGCAAAGGCATCCAGTCCTCTTAGTGCTGAACCATCTCTCCAGACCCCCATAATCCAAATTTCCAAAAAGTAACTCTACCAGACACATCTTCCGCCTGGAATTCCAGTGGTCATCAAACCTTAAGGCCCTTTCTTCCTTCACCCACAGCATCTAATTCAGTACATACTAGAGAACAAGGGGGATGGCAGTCAGAATCTGTATTTCTAGTAAGTTCTCCAGTGATGCTGAGGATGCTGGTCTGGAAATCACACCCAAAGGACTGTTAAAATAAGCAGCTTCTTCTAAGCCCTGGAAGTTTGTTCATGTTTTTACTTACAAATAAGTAAGCATTCCACAGAAACTCTACTGAGTGAGGTCTTGGAAATAGGTTCCTCTGTGTGGTGACAGCAGGTTAAGGAAAGTGAAGTCTGAGATGCACAGCACAGTGACACAGATGCCTTTATGAAGATGATTCATCTTTGTATGCCAGAGACCAGCTTATAACAGTTTTGTCAGAACTACTGCCATCTCTAGGGTTCGCAGCTGTGGGGGAGGGGTGCATGCAGAAGGACTTCTTTTTTTTGAACTCTCCTTGTTCCCACCACAGTCCAGACTGAAGAGCCAAGTCGGTCTGACAAGAAACAGTACCATACCGCACATCTGTCTCTAGAAGTGCAGAACCATGTGCTTTAAGTGATTCTAGTCACTGAGCTAATCATAGGTATGCCTATGGATGTAGGTGAGATGAGGACAGACTTGGTATCTACTTGGAGATCCTATATGTTTATGTATGCTGAGAAACTGATGAGCCCTCTCTGGAATTCCGTTCTTTACAGGATCAGGGGACATGATGCTGGTCTATCTATTGTGGCCTAGTGGACTTTCCTGGCCAGCACTCTCTGTACCACCTTTGCTTTTCCCAATTTCCTTGGAGTGATATGTTGTATAGTGCTTGCTCCCGGACTAAGGCTGGGGCCAGGCGGAAAAGCTCAAAGGGATGTTGTTTTCAACATTGGTGAAAGATGGTTTCAGAAAGACATTCACATTGCTCAACAAATCATACTTAGGGCATGGATTCCCATTCAGTCTTACATACTTTAAAGGTCAAGCCAGGAAGATGTTTGAGTGAGGGAGGCAAGGAGAAGGAAAGAAGAAAGAGAAGGGCAGATATGATGATCCAGCTTGCCAGCAACAGGTCAGGCTACTCCATCTCAGCCTCTGCACCTGCCTGGGCCTCAGCTCCCCGTGTGTGAAGTGCCAGTCACTAGATTTTAGACAGCCGAGAGGGATCATCATGATGGGCACAGAGGTGTCATGAGCCTTGAGAAGTCCTTTGTCCATAGTAGACAGACTCAGACTCTGCTACACTGAGGCAAAGAGAGGAGAGTGGAGTTTCAAAGACAACCAACAAGCAAAGGCTCCGGCATGGGAGGAACATGGTGTTTCTGGGGGTCACGAGGTAGCAGCCCCAGGTTGATTAGAGGCTTGTGCATAGAAGTGGATGTCAAGTGTAGGAAGGTCTGGGGACTATGGATGTTTGAAGAGCAATAGTGGAGGCCTTCTGAGCAGTTGGTGAGGATGATGGTGCCCACTCCAAGTACTGTAAACACTGAGCTGGACTGTGTCCCAGCCAAAAGGTGTACCAAAGGCTATGGAGGATGCTATGGAAAGCATAACCTGGTCTTTGCATTTCACAGACTCGTAGGCCACTGAGCAGACTGACACATGTACAGAGGTTTTACACCTAAGCATTCAACCTTGTACCAAACATTTTTTATATATATTTTTAACTTTTACAAAAACTTTATTGAGAATTTCATACATGCATTTAAGGTGTTTTGATCAAATCCATGGACATTCCCTCCCTTCCAACACCTCCCATATCTCCCCATCACTTCTTTCTTTTTCTTTTCTTTTTTTTCTTGTTTCATTTATTTATTTTTATGGGGCTTTTGGGTACTCTAACTTCCCCCCTCTGAAGAGGTAACCCTAAAATCATTTAAGGATTAGATACAAGCTCCCAAATACTTTTGACATTTTTGGCCTTTG